TATAACCCTGTGGTAGCCTCATCATGATTATGTTGTGCAGGTGTCAGCAATCCAGGCCAGTTCCTCAATTTAAAAAAAAGTGTTTGTGTTCAGGTAGTTTTGAACATGCAGACATCTACTGTATGTATGTTATTGATGTTTTATTTGGTATTAGAATTCATCTTTTTTAAATCATCATATTTCATGTAATTCACTTTAGTTTTAGGATTATTACATTGTCCCATTAATGCATTTGGGCTTGCGGAGCACCTACTGCAAGTTATATAATACTGTTTTGGTAAATGGCTGTTTCAGTTGCTGTTCATGGAAAGTCCTGCCACCTATTTTGCATCTGAGATTTAGATTACTGCCTATTATTAGATGTCATAAGGTCATATTTGCTGAGATTTACGTAGCCTTGTATTTACAGTGTTACCCGCTGATTAATGAGAAATTATGGAAACATCTTGAGCGGCCAAATGTTACTGAAATAGGGCCAGGTTTGGATAGCGGGCCACTATTGGCTCACTACTGCTGCAGTGGTTTAGAGAGCTCATGAGGCAATATTATGTATAATAAGCTGTCCCATAGAAAGCACACACGTGGCACAAATGTTGAAGTTTTGTGTGTGTGTGAAATGTAAAGAATTTTGTTTGTCATAAGGATAAAACTCGATCCACTGCTGATTCAGTACAAACCAAACTTGAAAAAAAAAAGTCAATATTCCCATGTGTTACTGGAAATAAGATGTTTATAACTTGGTTGTACCCTAAAACCTACAAGAGTATGAACAAAATGTATTACTGGCCTAGATATTCTGGAAAATTTACCCCATCTTTCCATTGCTATCACACACATCCATCAAATGTTGTCATCTCTAACTTGTTAACAACACCGGGGGTGTAGAACGGTGGCTCTTTATCTGAATTTCAAGAAAACGTTGTTTCCTTGTTAGTCAATGTTTTCTCACTCTATTTTTGACCTTTGGTTGCTGGCTACTCTGGACTGATTTATTTTACTGTCAATCTCCTGTCACTTCTGATTTGGGATAGAAGCCCTCATCTCTGCAGTCTTTGCCCTTGCTCATTCCTCCAAATGTTAAGTTTTGCTCAATGATCTCCTCAAAGTGGCATTTTGGTGGCCATTTCACACCACACTAAAAACTTACACGTATCTAACCCTCTTCTTTTTAGGACATAAATTAGACTTCAAATATAAAGCCAATATTAAAACAAAGGATAACACAACAGAAGCCCAAGAATTTTTTTGATAATTTTAAGAGAAATGAACCAATGCTGGTATCCCACACAGTAGCTTATCAATGTTTTGTTTGTTGTACGGATTTAATTTAATGACACACTTCCTGTTGATCTAGTTGGTGACATATAAGACTGGCGGTGACCTACAGCCGCTTCTCCTCATAGGTGCAGATGAATGTGGGACTGCGAGGTCATTGTGGCGGAGAGGACAGTCAGTCTGGATCTCACGTGCAGCCGCGGCCTGTCCAATCCTCTTACAACCCCCACTTCTTTCAGCATTCAGGCCAAGATCAGCTTGCTGTGTGCAGGTCTTATCCTGAGGATACAGAAGATCCTCGGTGCAAAGTCACGCCAGCACGTATCAAACGCCACGGTAACACATCTACCTCGTGATAGCTTTTGAGATGCATTCACTCACACACTTTTTCAGAGAGTTATCTGCACATATCTGCTCTATGGCTTTTAAATTTCATTGCTTCTCCAGATATAACCACATTATAATGAAATCAACAGATAAATTTGCCAAATCAAACCATTTTATTATCTATTTGTATGCTATTGTCAGCAAAACAGTTATATTAGAAAAAAATAATTTATTTCTAATTAAAGAAATCCAAAGCTCATTAAAGAATTAGTTTAAGAGGTTCAAAAGAAGAAACACAACTAGTCAGTGAAAAAACCCGATGATTGCTGATGTTTAAAAAAATCACATGATAAAAAACTCAAATACAAAAAAAGCCAATTATTTAATTGATGAAAATGCTAAAAATCATCAGTGGCACTGTTATTTCTGTGTTCTGTAAAAAGAAGAAAAAGCCACAAGGAAGCACTTTCAGTCATTTAACCTGTTATCAGACCCTCCGCTAAAAAAACAAGGATCTGACCACAATGTGTTAGTACTTTTGCTCACTTTTTCCGTTGGCTTATCAGTTCTGTAACAGGGTGAAATATGGGAGTCCCTGCTTTGACGTCACTTACACAACCTTTCCCAGGCCAGGCTGTTATTACAGATTTTATTCAGTGTTTTTTCCCTTCATTTTCTTGGCATCCTGTGGAAGAGCGGATGGGAAATTCTGATGTCATCAACCTTGGCACAGCGGGACAGAGGAGCATGCAGACCCTCAGGGTGCCACTATTGGTGCCCATGTGTTTGTGCCCCGTAGATGGTGAAATAGATGGTGTGGTGCTGCCCGCCTGTGCTGCACCTGCGTCCCAGCATGCTGATTGATCAGTTTGGTCATGTGGAATGTCACCATCTGCTCCCTAGTCCCACTCACCCCTTCTTGTGTGAATGCCAATCACTGGCAGGAAGATAGTTATTTAAGCCATGTCAAATCAAGCGCATGGCGAAGAGCAATATGCCAACAACACTTGAAATGTGCGTTGCAGGCATAGTAAGCACAACAGCACATCTTACATAAAAAGACTAACCATAAGAGCTGCAGAAGAGGTCTTTACTTCTGGTTCCCTTTTCAGTTTCGAATTATCTTCTCACATCTATGCAAAATTCAAATTTTGATTACTGAGTTTAGCAATCACGCTGTGCAAGTGTTTCTATGTGTTTGCATGTGTAATTCCTCATTTAATTTTGATCACGACTCCTTATTTGTTTTTCCTCCACCCCCCCTTGGGTTTCTCTTTTTTTCTTCTTTTGTTAGCTTCTTAATGGCCAACAACATATCAGGGGGCCATCAGGAGTGACATTCCTCTTTGTGGAGCGTCATAACCAATGACATTTCAACCGTGGCAAAATAAAGATATGCAAATCGGAGCTCATTAACATTTGCATTACCTGTTTGAATAATCGCACTTCTGACAAGGCAGCAATTAGCTAAGATTGATGCAAAGTTCAGGGTCAGGGGACTGTATATATTTGCTCTTGGATCATTTGCCCAAGATATGTGTGAGTGTTGGTGTGTCAGATAGAAGAGCTGATCTCTGTCAGCGGAAAAGGTCAGTCAGTGGCCACTGGTGTACCTGAATTAAAATGAAAAAAAAACAGCAACACACAAATATATATATATTATATATATCTATATATATATATATATCTATCTCTATCTATCTCTCTCTCTCTCTATATATATATATATATATATATATATATATATATATATATATATATATATATATATATGGATGTATTCTATAAATTTAGAATATTTACTCAGCATCTTTTTAATAAAGCACAGTCCTGAAGGTCAAGAAATTGTTGTTTTGATGAAGCCGAAGTGACTGACCTCCTAACCCAATTGAGCAGTCAGGATTAGGCTTTACCTTAAGGAACCTGAGTGCACTGCACAGCTCACCTTCAGAACATAACATGTTTTTCTACTCTCAGCTCTATAGTTTGCAGTTTATTCAGTAGAAAACTGTCATTTAAAAAAAATGCATATTTATAAATTGTAATTAAATGATCCCATAATGGGCAGCCACGGCAGACACCGGGTTAAAAGTTTAAATATAAACACAAATTTCAAGATTCTAGGTCGCTGTTATTTTGGCCACTTTGCTCCCACTGCCCTGCGGTGTTACTGTAAACACTGGGGACGATGACTTCAAGATAAAGGCTTTGCTGCTGTCTCGCTTGGAATTATTTGATTGGATTCTAGTGAGGGCTCTTTGAGCCAAAAAGCTGTGCCAGGACAGTGTGCCACACTGTGCATCACGCCAACCACAGTGTACATAAGATCACAAAACATAGATTTGCTGGTACTATTCAGAACTCATTCGCTTTATTAATCTTTTCCCCCCATGAATTTGTGACTCCCAGATGTTGTGCCTTGAGGTGAGTCTAGGTGTGCACATTACTGCTGAAACTGCATAAAAAGCAATTAATTAGACTTAAAATTACTTAGACTTTAAGCGCCGATCAGTGGGTATGCCTGACAACAAAGAGCACAAAACTACAACAAACTACGTCATAGGTGCCTTCACCTAATATGCAATTAAAGAACATCTCAGATCACATATAGGCCATTTTCCCCACAGGTGTGGCTTGACATTTTTTGGCTTTACCTTTTGTATGCTTTAAGAACCACCGGTGTAAATATCAGTTGTAGGGCATCAGACAGCGGCTTTGGCCTCAAACAGGATGTCTGACTGTTAATGTTACGCATCACCCAGACAGACTGCAGTATTAATAACCTTTAACCCAGCCGCTGGAGGAGCTTCTCACGCTACACGTGCCTACAAATTAAGACTAGTTTCTATTTATAAATGTGGGTCAGACAAGGGTGTGGTAGGCTGTCCTCTGTTTACTGGAAACCTCTACCTGTCTAACGGGAGATTAGTGCTCTCTGGTCCTGAGGAGGGGATTGCTTCCATGAGTATTTTTCATGCAGGACACAATAACATACAAAGAACAAAAAGTCAAGCATAACCTCAGTGTTGTAGTTTTTTCTTCTTCTTTTCTTTACCTTGCCCAGGTGTTTGCTCGGGTTTAGGTGGGATTTCCCTGATTGTTATTTTTTACTTAAAATAAATTCTGTTCATGTCCAGTCTCCATGACAATCAAAACTGTGGACAGTAAAATTAAAACAAGAGCAGAAAAAGAAAACTATCTCATATCCATGTTTATTTCACAACCATTTTATTTTAACACTAAAAAAACACAACAACAGGTTGCTCATAATATAGATGTCCACTCGGTAACAGCGTCAACTCCCGGCCACCCCTCGCTGCTGCCTGAAATGGTCCTGCCCTCATTTGCATAAGTTGTCTGCGGGTTGCTGCATGACCAGCAGGGGTAGGTTAGGGGAAGGAGTGCATGTGGACTGTACACACATGAGTGGAGACACGAGCAGAGGAGCTGTGCGTGGACTGTATCGTGAGCCTGGACTCTTGCACTGAACCAGCAGAGTTATGTACTGCGCTCACCCCGTCTCTGGCGCAGGGAACAACTCACTGATGCACTGCTACAACATGAAACCAGTGAGTACATATTTATATATGTATATATATTACAGTTATATTTCTGTCATTTCCCCTCCCAAGGTTACGTGGGTGTGTTTGCTGATGATGCATTTGCACTGTCCTCTCAGATGTTTGTTTGCTGTATCTGTGCCCTCATTGATTGAATAACCTTTTCTTTTTAATAGATGAGATTTTAGCAGACTTGCATCAGCAGGAAACCCATTTGCATACACAACTTGTAAAAGTTAAAAGTGTTCTCTTTCCTTCTTTTTGTGAGAAACTTAAGAGTTTGTGAGAATTTTCGTTGCTTTATTGAGATCATTAGATGCACCACGGGTTAATCTGTACATGCTTCTCTATGAAGGGCAACAAAGAGATAGAGCTTTACATTTTAAGGGTGTCTGTGCTTCAATAAGCTGTGTGCGTGATCAGAGCTTATTCTTTAACTTCTGCAGTTGCAGGTTAGAAGAGGACGAAGAGTTTCTGTGTTACTCTTACACTTGGTTTGTTTTGTCATAATCAAAAGGAGAGTTATTGACAACTTACACACATCTTCACGCACACAGTGCTAGTAGCATTTATTTACGTATAACTGTAATATCTCAGTGATCTTTCTCTTAAGGTTAACAAGAGAGAAAAATAAAACGACAAGCATCAACTCGTGCTTCCTGTTTGCTGCCAGAGTATCATGTAGTCAAGCCTAGCAGCAGAAAACATCTTGACATGAAGCAGATTGCTGCTATTTCTATTTGATTTAACCCCGCTATGTTAGAGCAGTCCCTCCACCACTGCAGCCATTATCAAAGGCAGCTTTGATCTCTGTGAGACTAACCATATCCAGACATCGTGGATCAGAGAGGCAGAAAATTGGTTGCATGTGGCTGGAGTTGGCCATGATGGAGCAGAGAGTGGGCCCTGAATAGCAAGTTGAGCTTTTACTCATGCAGCATCGTAATGCTGTGTACTTTTGTTGTTTGCCTGTTTTTGTTTTTATTTCCCCAACTTTATCCTTATTTATAGACTAAAAAAACACAGATTGTAAAGAATAGATTGTAAAGAATATTTATGCAAGATGATTTAAAACAAATGTCAACCTCTTGAGTATTTTAATGTCCTCCTTTTTTTCTTGTGGGGCTTAGCTACTTAAAAAAAAAGTCCTTTATCATTTGTGATGCCATGATTGATGGTTAATAAATCAATGCTATGCTAAAAGAGGGTGCTATGGTGACGGCTCTTCTCCAGTGGGGGCCAGAGAGGGCGTGCTGGGGCGGGGGTGTGACCATTATTAACGGGTCGCCTGCTATGCTGATGGTAAGGAGGACAATTGGCTTTATCCTCTGCCATATGCTGCCCATGGCGGCTCAGACGGGCCCAGTGTCGACAGGGGCTCCTCTGTTTGGCCTAGCCCACAATCACCATGGGACTCATGCCAGCCAGGGTCATGGCTTGTGTGTGTGTGTGTGTGTGTGTGTGTGTGTGTGTGTGTGTGTGTGTGTGTGTGTGTGTGTGTGTGTGTGTGTATGAGCCTGTGAGTGTGCACGCACAAGGATACTCAAGAGAGTCTTTAATAGCCTGCTTTACAGAACTTGTCGTCCGGGTAACTGACACCCCATTGATGCTGCGCAGGGAGGTTTATTTTCATTTCCTGGGGCACATCAAAGCAATGGAGAGAGGTGCAGGTGCAGCCCAGAGCTCTTGGTGTGTTTGAGTAAGTGAGCATGTGTTGGTCTGATTTTTTTTTTTTTTTTTTTGTGCATATGTGCAGTTTGCAGCATCAACACTGGTCAAGAAAGAATTAAAAATATAAAAAAGCTGAAGGTAGCTTTAGTTTAGTCTAAATCTACTAGCCGTTAACAATACTTGGTTTCCAACAGGAGAGGATCATTAGGATCAGACTCTTTTATCTGTTCGGTTTCTCTTTGAGAACAATTCACAAGAAGACCTGGATTTCAATTTTATTCGGGAGGGTGTCCTATCCCAGCCTTCTGAAGCCAGCCGAACCTGATCGTGATTAGGGCTGGGATTTCTCATGGTGAATGGTTCCTAAATCCGGATGAGGAGGTGCATGGATCTGCAGCTTATGGATTAGCGCAATAGCTCTAAGTGTGCATCAGCTCTCTGCTTTGTTTTCATAATACTGTTGCCTCATCTCGCACTCACAGTATTCACGAGTTTGTGTCAGTCAGATTGGTTTTTGCGATACTGAGACAAAGAAATTTATGCTCAGAGTTCATTTTATTCTCTTACTTTTCTTTTCAGGCTTATGGGCAGTCTCCTGGTGCAGACATCGCCACCCAGAACTCATCTTCACATCTGTCGCCCAAGGCCCCCAGCAATGTGTTTGCAAGCATGTTCTTTGGTGAGCTCAAACCCTCTTTACAATTCTGCTGCAGTGCAGTCAGTTTTGATAACAAAATATAGGAAATAAATGCAAATTTAAAAAGTTTATTATTTTATTACATATGCTATCTACTTTCCTATACTTTAGTTGCAAGTTTATAGGTCTATATTTCATATTAAAATATACACGCTCTCTTCACCAGCTGTCTTCTCATAAAAATCTATTTTTACTAAAGTTCTCACTGGTTTTGGAAATATTGTTTTAGCAAATGCCTAAATTGGTGTTCAATATGAACTGGCATTCATTATAACACTAATGGTGTACTCGCCGGAAACCCATTAATATTCACCACAAACAGTCAGTGGGACAAGGAGTAAAGTTGATAGCTGGAATCAAGTTACCGTAACATATTTTCACAACTTACCCAAAAGTCCTATGATTTCACTCCTTTTTCTGTCTCTGTATTAAAGCAAAGTTAAACCAAAAGATCAAAAAAACGTGTCCTCCATTTCTGATTCTCACCGGAGAGAAGCCAGTCTGTGTGAGAAACACAGTTTTAAAGTGTAGCATGAAGAAAATTTTTCTCCAGAGTTGAAATGCTTTAACTCACATGAACACAGACTTGCCTCGATTCACGTCCCCGGTGGTAAATATTGCATCAGTTACTGTCACTCCTTAAAGTTTTGGTTGTTTTGGTGTGAAGAGGTCAGAACAGTCTACAGCCGTGCTAGCCGTGCTATTAAGTTCATTAAACATAATGTTTGCCATGTTCATCATCTCAGGTTAACTCAAACATTAACTCATTAGCCTGCAATACAGCTGAGCCTTATTGGTTTGGACGTTTGGACTCATCATAATTCATTGCGAGGTAGATAGATGGTATATGTGCACCACAGACAGTATAAAAAATAGATATAGATACAGTGACATCACCCACGGCTTTCTGGAGTCGTGTTTTGAAATGTTGAGATCAGCCACCTTGGTTGCAAAAACACATTTTTTTAAATGTGTGGACGTGATCATGGCTTGTTGATCTTAACTTGTTAGCCATTAAGTGTGTGGTTTCATGCCACAGTTAATGCTGATTTAAAGAATACTTAATTTTTTTTTTATTCAATATGACCCAAAAATGAGCGACTAAATCCATAAACTCAGCAGGAGAGTGAAGAAATGAAGACTGGAGGTCATTTTTCTCATAGAATTCTAGACGACCAAAATATTTCGGCAACCACAGCTATCGCCATCTGGTGGCCTTCAGATAAAATACAGGTTTAAGGCGCTTCAGCTGTGTCTTCATTTTTCCTGGAAGCTACGTCCGATTTTCAAACTGTCTATGGAAGCTCAGAACAATTTTTTTAAAAGTCTGTTATTCTGGTGTTTATTGTAGTTGTCAGATATTTTACTTACCCAAAAATCCAGCGGAGAGCGTAAGTTGTATTACATTTTATTGGCAATCCACCCAGTAACTATGATGTCTCAGTCTTGGGGGTAAAAGAATCAAAGAAATGCCTAAAAAGCACCATGAAGATTAGATAAAGTCTGTGTACTTCACTTTATTTAAAGATCCGTTTGTATTCTCAGCTAAGCAAATTCAGCTGAGCATCATCGTGTCACACGTTAATGAGCATTGCTTTAACTGAATCTGGACTTCACTGATTTCATAGAGTGCCACTGTAGAGCTTCACGACCTGTCTGGCTGTTTGAGATGCTGCTCCAGTGCAGGCTATAACATATTATTACTCATTTTAGAGGGGATGGGCAATTCGCCGGACATCTGGAATGCTGTAAATGGGCTGAACCAGCAGGGCTATGAAGGTGCACTGGGAGCAGCCACAACCCACCAAACACAGCCGGGGAGTTACAGCAGCCTGCAACCGGCACACGGTCACCTGGTGAGATTTACCACTGGGACTTTGGGCGTTGATAGCAACAAACTTTCTGACCCCTGTTGTTTTTTTTAACTGCATGTTTTCCCCCACTCTTCAGGACTTCTCTCCACATTCAGTGTTGGCTGTGGACATGAACAGGGCTCTCCCGCCCATGTCCACTTTTCATCGTAGCAATGCAGTCTCGCGCACTCAGTCAGTCAACACCTCAGAGAGCTCTGCAGGTCAGAAAATGGAAATGGATACATGCTTTCCCTAATTTAACTGCTCTTTATCACGTGCTTATCTTGTATAATAAATATTTTCTTTTTTAAATTCAGTCTCAGGGAGCCAAGGAAATGTGTCAGGACCATCACAGACAGGCGACACCTTGGGCAAAGCTTTGGCCTCTGTAAGTACCACCACCTCAATCCTATTAGATCTAAGTCCTGAGAGCCCCAGTGGTATAATGCAAAACTCCCCCACTGCCAATGACAGGACACTGCACATTAAAAAGAGCTACTCTCATGCTGCACGACATTTTATTGGTTGCTCACAAGTAAAATGACCAGAATTCACGAGTTAAGTTGAGATTACGAGCCTATGAGGTTGCGGCTGCAGCCGTAAAAACCCATCCAGAAATGACAAGTTGTGCTTTTAAAATGATCCACACCCTGGTCACACTCCTCCTGCTCCCCCTCTCTCCTTTTTGTCGCTGTCTGCTGTTAGATTTACTCCCCTGATCACACGAGCAGCAGTTTCCCCTCCAGCTCATCCACACCGGTGAGGTCTCCGTCTCCGCTGCCCAATTCAGCGGAACCTGCAGGTAAACTGGAGCATAGCACACGTCAGCGAAATATAATTTACATCATCTATGTTCTGTTTCCCTGATGTTTTAAATCCGGTTGTTTTCTTCTTCTCAGGTAGCAACATGTGGCCACGGAGTTCAGTTCAGGCACCAGTCTCACCACATTATGAGTCTTCGCTAATATCGTTGGTAAGGAAGTAATCTGATATCACTGAAACTTTGATTATTTATTGAGTTACGTCTAGACATCACAGAGGTGGCCTTATGAAATATCTGGTATATTATAAGAAAGATTAAAGTGGGTGTGCACATGTGCCAACTTCAGCTTATTTCATGCCGATATAACAATTCTGATAATGTTGAAACTATTTGGTGCCATTAAAGGGTTGACTTTTGGTGATGTTTCTTTGAGAAACAACTTAAGCCAAAGATTAATAACACAAAATAGCAGGTAATAAACCCCTAATCAAAATTAAAGCACAAGCTTCTTGTACCTCACAGCGGGCCTTATTATTTCCAAGAAAAGGGCATTGAAACGCCCCAAAAGACACCAACAACACAAACAGAGGTCCAGTTCAGTTTCTCCAGTTAGCAGAGGAGAGGCCTAGCAGGTATCCGTTGGTTCCAGCTGTGCAGGGACACCTGTTGATCCAGGAGAGCACACCCATAATTCTAGTATCGGGCAGATGAGTTATTTAAAAAATTAAAATAAAATCACCCAACTTTGAGTTGTTCTTCAAAAAGACAGAAATTGTCTTTTTAACATTTATAATGTTGTAAACAACATTATAAGGTTTTGGCTTGGTTATAACTTGTGATAACATTTTATAATACAGCCCACGGCTCAGGTGTAATTCCCCTGTAATTAATTAAATCAAATGTAATTTCAGTGTATTTAATTTGAAATTACAATGTAATTATATTTACCTACAAATACTTTAAGGTGGATAACAAGTCAGGTTTTAAAGGAAATAGCGCAATAATTACACTTCAAGTAATTTTAAATAGTGTGTAATTTCCTGGTAATGTTGCAGAAAAACAAACAATATTTTGCCATCTTACATAATAAATATGCAGTATTTATTTGGGCACGGGGCATATGAGGGAGTTAATTAATCTTGCCTTTTTCTTTATTCAGCATTCATTATGTTGATGTGTATGATGGTTGTTCTGTTATTTAATTGTTCTTTTTTTAATCCAAATGTGATCAAGGACTGTTTTCTGTCTGTAACTTAGAAGAAAAAATACCATCAAAATTTGCAGGATTATGTAAACTTTTGATGACACAATTATAACAATGAACTGTTCTAAATCCCTACTTTATATACCTACTATTAAATAGGTGGATGAAAAGACCATCCATCATGCACATCAGCATAATGACTTTTAAATAAAGATGCAACAAAAAATACAACAAAGATATGAAATGCTAGCTTAATCTGCTCCATAATATGGCCCACGCTCTAAAAAGTACAGGGTACTTACAATGTAAGATGGGGCAGTGTTGCTTGTTTTCTTACAAAATTACAGTGATGTTATGCACCACTTAAAATTACTTTGCAGTATATTTGAATTAATTACGTTGTTTCCTATAAAAAAAACTTGACTTGTTAGCCCTTTATTCTTGTGTATCTAACTTAATTTTTTGTAATGCATTATAATTATATTGTAATTTCAAATAAAATACATTGAAATGCCATTTAATCACTGAAGGAACTACTACTACTGTCTTGCTGTTTTGGGCAAGAGGGTTTGAAATTTAGAGTCCTTTTTGTAAATTTTGAGGATTGTCCCCCTGGTGTTTTCAGTCTCAGGTGGAGGATCGTCTGGACAGACTGGATGACGTAATCCACGTCCTGAGGAACCATGCCGTTGGCCCCACCGCTGGTCTGCCCAGTGACATCCACGGGTTGCTGAACCAGCCCAACCACGGCCACCCGGGCTCTGCCAGCACCCTGCCGCTCAACTGTCACAGTCCAGCAATGGTTAACAACCCTTACTTTGAAGTATTTAAAGAAGGACAGGGCAGTGTGCATGGAAATTCCCTGTTGTGTGTGTGTGTGTGTGTGTGTGTGTGTATGTGTGTGTGTGTGTGTGTGTGTGTGTGTGTGTGTGTGTGTGTGTGTGTGTGTGTGTGTGTGTGTGTGTGTGTGTGTGTATCTGCGCTGGCATTCAATTCCAGGAATTTTTCCACCCACTACGTCTGCATGTTTTCCTAATGTAAAGGTTGCTGTCCTTGAAACTGGAAACTGGGGACAATAGGAGCGCTGTGATGTGCTGTCCTTGTGTGTCCAGTATGTGCAGACTTCTAAATCCACTGTAGGGTGATTGGGGAGGGAGAGGGGGAGGCAGCACGGTGCACTCCCATTCCACCATGTTTCCCTTTGAGCAGACCAGGGGATTTTAGCTCAGCTGGAGTGGAAGTGTATGCAAGGGAAAGGGGTTTTTAGTGTAATCCGCTGCGAGAGGGGGATATTAAATTCTCTCACTTTTATTTTATTTTTTCCAAACGATGTGTCAGTGAATCATTCCTGAAGAGAATTAGGGGTATGTTTAGGGAGTATATAGTAGTTTAAAGGGAAGGATTAAGATTGTCTGAGATTAAATTAATTCTGTAGAGTGAGAGATCCGCACAGGGTTGCTTTGGAAATGAGAGGGCAGATGTTGTTTTGTGGCCGATTTGTCTCTAGCTTGGATATTATATGCCACTGAGTGTCTTAGAAAGATTTATGGAGCCCTGCAGTCACATTTAGAGAATCCCAGTCTACAGAATACTTAACCATTGACTTATGAACACATGAAGAATGGTCTTATGTCATTCTCTGTGTCATAAAGGTTGAAGCTGTCAGTATGAACAACAACCACTCCGCCTTCCAGGGCCGTGCGCAAAATGGTCACCCATACCCAGCCAGACAGAGGGCCACCCTACAGCCTGTGCAAGGTGGAGGTAGAGGTGAGCTACCCTTCTCCCTCGCAGCTCTTCTCCACCAGACTCGTATATTTCACTTTTTCTCTTTGTGACAAAAAAATGTTGTTTATGTTTTGTGTGATCGCCCACAGGTGGACTTGGGGTTCAGAGTAATCTAGAGCTTAAGATGGAAAGTGGGGAAATGGAAGAGATAATGCACACCAGCCATGGTCACAGTTCAGACAGCCAGAGATCAGATGAGGAGAGCGAACACAAGACACATGGAGAAAACAGTGCAAGAAACAGGTGAACACTCATGCCTTATCGTGTGTGTGTATGTGTGTGTGTGTGTGTGTGTGTGTGTGTGTGTGTGTGTGTGTGTGTGTGTTTAAAAAAAAAAAAAAAAAAAAAAAAAAAAAAGGGAACAGCAAAACAAAGAAAGGAAAAAAACTGTGTTCATTTGTTCAAAAAATAAAATTTTGTGTTTAAAGCCGGTGAAAAAACCCTGCCCAATTATGAAGACAAAGCACTTTTAAAAAAAATTGGTTGGAATAGTTAATAGTAATTTAAATTCCATTTTAAAAAATATGTTTTAATTTAATTTTGTAATTAAAAAAAAAGTTACTATATATATATATATTTTTTTAAATAAACTACCTTTTAAAAATCTATTACAATAAAAGCCAAACGCAAGAAGAAGAAGAGCTTTCCTGCCGTTTTGTTTCATTTAAAACACTGCCAGGCCCCCTGCAGTCAAGAACAGCTGTGTCTGGACCAGCCTATTTAACTTAGCCTCATATTTCTTCTTCGTGTTGCATTAAGTCGCAGTGAATTAAAGAAGGAAGAACAGCTGTCGGGACGTACACATCACAGTTAAGAGTTAACCAAGAAAATCCCCAAACCACAAAGCAGTCTTTGTAAACTGTCTTACAACTGTCCCCTTTAGCTCTGAGTGAACTAAGGTCTGTGTTCAGCTTTGCTGCACTTGCATTATTTATGACGCATGATTATAGATCTTGGGAAACCTTATAAAAAAGAATAAAAAGTATTTGTTATGTGACTGTGGTGATTTTAACTTGTACACCCAACAGTCAAAACCAAAAAGAACTCAATTTAAAATACATAAACCTGAGAGACAAGCGATCACATTTGTTTTGGTCAAAAATGTTTCAAATTAATGATAATTTTTAGCAGTTTTATATTCTGTCAATCCTCTTATCAATTAAAGGACTAACTGTCAGTAAGTGTGCCCGGCGACGACGAAGGATGCTTTTGGTATTACGTGAGTCACAGAAAAATTTATAAGGCCTGCGTCAGAGAAAAATGATAGCGTATGTCTTGAAAATGTCACAGACTGGAGCTCCTGTCCTGGTGTCTCTACGTCCAGAGGTCTTTTCAGGCCAGACCTCTTCAGCTGTGATGTCTTGAGTGCATGTTTTTTTATTTAGATCTGTAATCTAGTTGAGGGATATCAAAGCTGACATATATGGACATCCTCCAGCATTATTCTTTTTTTGTTTGTTTGTTTTCTAAAATATTGAAACCAGATGATAACAAAAAGCAAAGCAAAATAGTTTAAATGTGATTCTAAGAATGGACATATGGGTTCTTTTAAACACACATGTTTAAGGGTTATCATAAATCTGCGGCTGATTACATTATCTGCTGCCATTGTTCTATGGAAACCCTTTTTTCACTGAACTTTTTAGAGGATTTGAGATGATCCCTGGAGACTGGATCACGTAATCCTGGCACAGCGGCCAGCAGAGGGCAGAAAGACCCGGAATATATTCTGAAAGCAGTCTCGCTCACTTCGCTTTTCTCTGCTTCTTCTGGAGTGTCGGTTTGAATTAGATGAATCTTCATTTTTAAAAGATTCAGCCACACCTTTACCTGTGGGCTTCCTCTGTTCATGTCGTAGCATCCATGAGGATGAGGACCTGAGTCCGGAGCAGAAGGCTGAGCGCGAGCGTGAGAGGAGAATGGCCAACAACGCCCGCGAACGCCTGCGCGTGCGCGACATCAACGAGGCCTTCAAGGAGCTCGGTCACATGTGTCAACTACACCTGAAGAGTGAGAAGCCGCAGACCAAGCTGCTGGTCCTCCACCAGGCTGTGGCGGTGATCCTCAGCTTGGAACAACAAGTCAGAGGTCAGTGCGTGTTTGCTGCAGGGAGGCAGATGATGATGGCACACCCACGATGAAAACTAGGCTTCAGTCAGTTATCCACAGAAAACTCCTTTAGTCTATTTAGACATATTTTTCCTTTACTGCTTCTGGTTAAAATTGAATGAATTTATATATATATATATTTGGCCACATGAGGGCAGCACAGTAAGCTGCAAACACAGCATTATCTGACAGTAAAGATCTGTGAGTGAGAATCTGCAATCAAACAGCCTATTTACACAGTTAGCAGATGGGAAGCAACACTAGCATATATCTTGAGGTGTGCTTGTGTCCTCTTGTTAAAGAGGCCCTGATGCAGCCCCATCGGCCGCTGAAGGGAAAATATGTGGCTGTTTAAATACTAAATGCCATCTCAGTTCGCTTAGTCTGCCTGCTGTGCAAGAAATATTGAGCTTTTATTATTTTTTCCCCCTTTTAGCTGCTTTTTATCACTAAATTATAACTGAATAGGTGACAGCATGAAATAAGCAAAAAATAAAAAAGCTGGGAGATGCTACAAGGCTAAGGGAAGCTCCAGAAAAAAATATTTATTTTTATTTTATTAAACCTTTATTTAATCATTAATCATCCAGCAATAAACTATAAACAGTTCTTATTCTCTGGAGACGATGCTTTCTGTGCTGCATGTTGTGATTTGACCTGTTGCTAATAAGAGAAGCTTCATAGTTAACATGAAAACGTCTGTAAGGATGACTTATAAAGTTTCTAGCTTCTATTATTTTTCTAAAGCAGATTCCCAACATCTGTACCACTGTTGCATAAATACAATAACGAGTATGTACTCCCAGTGTTTCCTATTTTAGTCTTATGCTAACGTGTTATTTGTTGGACTCCACAGAGAGGAATCTGAACCCGAAGGCAGCGTGTCTGCGGAGGAGAGAAGAAGAGAAGGCGTCTGCTGTCATGACGGACCCACAGTCCATGCATCTTGCTTTTCATCCCAATCTGACAGACCCGGCGAACCCCATGGGCCACCTCTGAGCACCTGACCACATCGAGTCTACCATCAAGTATTTACCATCACCTTATATCAGCAATAAACTTTATGAACTAAAGGCTAAAACAATTGGATGTTTCTATTTGAGGGAATAATGTAAAGGACTTCCTCAAATTAATTTCCTGTCTTTGATGTCCAGATGCTGAGGGAAGAGCATCCCAGCTGTTTTGGATGTTTCTCATTTCTTCGGACTTTCAGACCGGGACAGTGAGGTCTTCTCTGATTAGAAAGCGTGATGCAGTTGAACAATCATCTCCTAACTTCCCAAACTGACTCTTAACTTTGTGCCTGAACGTTACTTGTAACAGACAAATGCATTGTACGCTGCAGATGTTTTGTACATATTTTGTATATTTATTGATTATCCTTCTGTTGGACTATATCTGAATGGATGGAAACCAGTAGTAGCAAGGTGTCATCTGCAGTTTTTAATTTTGGCTTAGCCAGGTATGTTTCTGACTGACACTTTTTACAGTGTGTCGATATTTACTGCAAACATTTGTGTTTTCCACCGAGCTCAGATCCACATTCCCACATTTGTGTGTTCAGACAGCAGATTTTACTTGTCCTGAAGTGCGTGTGTGTGTGTGTCTGTGTGTGCGTGCGCATATTGCTGCAGGGGTTCGACCATTCTGTGAATGAACAGATCTCCAAGAATGTTCTTTAACACGTGGACAACATCCGGCATTTGTAAAGTTGTTTGAATGTTATTTGTGTTCTTGCACTCTTAAAAGATTACACTTACTGAAACACTGGTGGACAGGAGCCCTCTTCTTCTCAGTGTAATCACTGCTCTTCACACGTAGTCAAACAAGATCTTTGCATGTTTGAGTTTTTAATAGAACCTTTCATTTGTTTTCTAAGTTATATAAGTTATCTTTTATACAAATGTTGTGAATTTGATGATGTGTATTTGCTTTTGTCTCCGATTTTACACGAGGCAACACTTTTTTTTCTTTTTTTTTGTGCAGTTTACTAGATGTAGCTACAGTTCAACCTCTGAGCAATACAATGTTACAGGATGATTGATGTCTTGCTTCTCACTCTGCTGAAACGATAATACAAATTTAAAAAAAAATATTAATCCTGAATGATCTGAAATACTCTTATCATAACATGTACAGTATGTGTACAGTTTGAACTAGCCTACAGGCATGTGTCAAAATTATATTGTAGCAATAAATGTCTTTTTCAATGAATTTTACTCCCAGTTCTGTCTTTTTCACTCATCTTTAGTCTAGTCCTTGTAGTTACCATTTTCAGATTTACTATTATTATTATTTTTATTTAACACTGACCTAAGAGTCATTCGAGCATTTAAAAAGCATTTATTCAAGTGATAAACTAGTGTTCTGTCTACACGCGGCATAGCAAGAAACCGACTGTATTTTAGTCACTTTGTTACTGTGAAAAAATCACATATTTTGTTCCCTGTCCTTTCTCGAATTTATGAAAACTACCAAGCAAAATTTGACAGGGATGACGCTTTTTGCACCAAAGAACTATTTGCTGGTGTATCTTGGCATGGTGTGCTGTGTGTCTTTAAGTAATGCGAGGAAACTGGACAAGTGAAGAAGAATCTGAAAGTCATGCCAGAAATGGTCTCAGTGGAAGGGTGGCTATTAAAAGCAGGAAACAAGGACGGAAAGTCTGCAGCACGCCAAATTACACCAGAACTGGATTTAAAATCAGGCCTCGTAGTGTGATGAATCCAAATTTAAATAATCTTCGGTATGTATGTAGGAGGTCAAGAAACAAGTACAACAGTGAGCGTCTGCGGCCATCTGTGAAACACGGTGGTGGCTCTGTCATGGTTTTGGCTTTCAGCTAGGGATGCTGGGCATCTTTGAATGTCCTTCATGGAAAACTTTTCCTGAAGTCTACTGAAAGGAATAACAAGAAAACTTGTCTAAGAGTTCAGACTGTGTTGAAGAATAAAGGCGGTCATAACAAAACGTGTTGAATTGCACAAACTCAGTTTTTGCTTTGCTTTTTGGTTTTTTGAATAAACTGCTGCACCTACTCCCAATTTTCCAAGTAAATTATAAAGTCACTCAAGACTTTTGCACAGTACTGCATATGCCACGAATTTGCAAATGTTGCCACAAATATAAATTAATACAGTTTTACAAACAATAAGAACTTTAGCCAAATATCAACAAGGCAGCTTCCTTTAAGACCTCTTTGAAATCAAATCTGGATTTTGTGTGAGTTGCCAGGTAAAAAAAAAAAAAAAATCACCTGCAATAAAAAAAAACAAAAAACAAAACAAAACCAAAAAACTCCTTTACCCATGCCTTTATTTATTTATTTTTTAGCTCGAATATTTGTAGTTAAAATATTTCGACCCTTTCAAAAACAAATAAATAAATACATGAAAAGAAAGAAAAGAGGAAGTATTATAAGGATATGAATCCTAAATAATCATGAATCAGAAATAACTAAACGTGCTTTAGAACTGCAGAACTACTAATACAATTACATGTAGGGAATTCTTCGTATCATTATTATAGATTTATGTATAAGCCTACCTCAAAGCGAGCACTAGGCAGCAGCAGCCGCAGTCATATGATGTTTCTGTGTGACAGTGAACGCCTCTCTGAGCGGGGCTGATCATGTCTCGGCGGGTGGAGGCTGGACAGTCCGATCGGACAGAGGAGGAGGAGGAGGACAAGTCAGCGCTCACACAATACGGTAAGTTTGAGATTAAGAACAAAACCTGCTCTAAATAACGCGAACGACCTCAATCCTTCAAAGATACCCCATCTGCGGTGATCAGCAGCGCGTTTAAAGATGTTACTCCAACTTTTTACTACACCTTTTCATTAAGTCGCGGTCTTTTTACAACAGAAGCAGGTAGAGTTCTTGTATCCTTTTTAAAGTAGCGAAGTAAAGTTTATCCGGATAAAGTGTGTGAGTGGCAGATACTGTAGTATCCAAGGACAAATGAGTTCATGTTAAGTACCTAGAATGACAAAGTAAGAACGACCCAATGAAACGTTAGAAGCTCTTATTACGCATGAACATGGCAGGTTGTAGAAAACCCACCAATGGGACAATTTGCTGTCTTTTTTTTTTTAACCAAGTCATTTAACTTTTACTTAACATCAGCTGAGCAGTCGATTTAAGGGGAATTGAAGGGGGCTGGTCAATTTAAACTAACAGGACAAAGCAGCGGAGTGCTGTTTTTTCTACAACCTGGCAACCAAAAGTAGTTTATGACTGATAGGTGATTGGTGAAAGTTACTGTTTAGTTAGTCTAAGTTCAAACATCGCAATGAACTGAGGCTGGACTGGCTGAAAAATGAACATTTTTAATGTGTTTCTCTCTTTTTTCTGATTTTGTGGTGCTTATAAATCCCTTAAAACTATTATTATTATCATGATTATTTTCCATAACATTGATAGTTAACTAAATCAGCACATTTTGGAATAGTTAAAGGAAAAGATATACGCACAATAAAGCCATGTAGAGTGAAATAAAAATATATATATTATTGCCTACAATATATTGGGGTCACAAATGACCTCACCGGGTCACTTCTGTAAAAGTGTTGGTCATTCGAGGGTTATTTGGATTGGCAGCATGCTAAGGATGGGGCTCGTAGGAAGACACCATACTGTCTTCTATTGTGTTTGTGTGTTACAGCCTCACAGTAGTGTGTTTGTTGACAAACATTTTCCTCAAGTGTCATACGACGGAGCGGATGACGACACCTCTCCACCTCAGCCAGTTGTAGTCGTCATGCAGTTGGCTCAGCTCGGGCTGTACAATAGTACGCTGTCATTAGCACACAGAAAGAGCTGTTTTCATTGCACAGCAATATCAGGCACTCACCAGCATCCATTTATTGTGTCTTTATGTGCAGCTGTGGGAGGAGCTCCTTCGATGTCTGTCCTTACGTTCCCTCTTAAGCTCCAACCCTGCTCCAGTGTTTTGTAAACAGATGATAAGGCCTGACCAACCTGAAGCATCGGTTTTCAATTCACTCTCCCGTGCAGTCTCCCTCTTGGTGTCATTTTTAACATACCTGTCTGTGCGTGTTACCACCAGTTTATCTCCAGAAGGGTTGGGATGGAGTCTCACAGGCCGAGCGGTTCTCCAGACATCAGGACACAGAGGGGCTACATGCTGGAGCACAGTCACAGGGGCAGCCAGGACAACTCGTTTGGAGTGAGGATTCAGGTTCAAGGGATTAAAGGTCAACCCTATGTGGTTCTGAACAGTTCAAGCCAGGACAGCAACAGGGACGTTTCTGTCATCACTCACCAGGCAGGGTACAACCCGGGTATGGCGCGAAGGTCCATGGATGACAGACAGCTATCACCTGAGCCACAGAAGATGGTTAACTCCCCCGTGTTTAATTATCAGAAACGCCCAGAGATCATGAGATCCTACAGCCCTGAAAATAATAAACTGAGCCCGGGGTTTCCTTCACAAACAGCCTCAAACAAACCGACTACCAACGTGACCAAACCCAGGATCCCTCTGCCTGCTGAGGGCCCAGGAGAAGACCCTGCTGAGTTGACCCAGAACAAGGCGCCTCCATCTGGTGGACAAATTTCTCCAAGGTCCCCAAACTTAGTGGAGACCGACTCCATCATTTCTGTAGGGAAACTAATAAGCCAGTTTAACAGCAACCAACGGAGGGGAAGAGGCCCGAGGAACAGGCTGAACCTCGAGGAGTGTCGTCGGTCACGCAGCGTGGACAGCAGTCGAACCTCTGAATCCTCCTCGCCCTCCCCTTCAGCTAGCAGGAACTCGTCTCTGAAGGGCGGGATGTACCCTCCTGGATCGGCCAGGGCTCGACTCCTCAGTGGAGAAGTCAACTTAAAGCCACCAAGCAACAAAGATACGACCACCAAAGGGCTTCACAGAGCAGAGAAAGCATCAAGCGGTGACCGGGCTGATGAATCTGATGAAAGAGATGCACAGGTACAGGCTTTTGTTTTAGGGCAAAGTTGTCATTTGAAAGATCAGATTTATTTGCCGTATGTTCCCTAATCAGGTCACTCCCGATCTTCTGAAAGGACAGCAAGAGCTCTCAGTAGATCCAGCCGAAGACACGACGAAACAAATGCTGTTCACTTACCTGAAGGCTGGGTAAGTCCCCCCAAGCTTTCGGCACTTTACTTTAAAGGGGCAAACAGACATTTTAGGAACTATAGAGCATATATTTGATTTCTTGCAAATGGGTTGAATTACGGTGTTTGCCTATACCTTAAGTAAGAGACTCCAACAGGAAAGGCAGCTTGATTTGTATTGTTAGCGTTTAAGCACACACTGTAAACTTGGAGGAGCAGCGAGCAAGGCTTTGTGCAAACAGTTACAAAGAACAGTGACCGGCACCTCTAAAGTTCAGCGTTTTCAATTTTGTTTGTTTAAAGTGCACAAAAGCAAAAGTTTAGAAATGTCAGATGACAGTGTTCTGGATTACTTTATAGGCTGTCACATTATTAGCTCTCTGAAGTCTAGCAAACAGGATATGACCTGTTGTGAGATTTAGACCCTTTTTAAAATAAATTATTAGCAATAACAAAGGAATTTTACTGAAATAAAAGTATAATATAGTTTCCCCTTTTTTCTTTTTCCTTAAAAAACAATTTAATTGACTTGGTCTCATTCTATATTCCCCCCCCTGCTCATCCACACCTCACCTGCAATGCCCCACATACTTCCTTACCAGTATATCCGTATATCAGACTCAAAATAGAGGAGTTGTGCACTAATGTGAACACGTGCGGTGGAGATGTTTGTGCTTTACAGACGATCTGGCAACATGGTTAACATTGCACAAACAGTACATACAATACTTATAAATCATAAACTCTGAAGGATGTAGACTTTATCTATACATTTTCCATGAGAAACAGCTTGTTTGAGCTTGAGATCAGATAAGCAAGTGGTCCGGGTGATGGGGGCAGTTGTCTAGGCTCCATCTAAAATATGTAATATCTTCCATAACGGCTCTGCTGTTACTCTAAACTATCTTAATAAACAAGTTTTGTTTCCTGTTTTCAACCTAATTTCCAATAAAAAACCAATCGAACAAAAACAAGTTATATTTGTTGTGTATAACATTGTCTCATTTTTCATAATAGTATATTCAGTACTCCCTGTTGGTCTAGTGGTGAGTGTGTGGTTGAGATCAGGCAGTGCAGTCTGATACGGGGAGCTGCTCCAGATGTGTGTTCTCAA